CGTTTTGTATAAGTGGAATCAAAGAGTATGTACTCTTTGGTGTCCGGCTTCTTTTTTTCTTTTTCAGTCTTTTCTTATTGTGGTAAAACATACATGAAATTTACCATTTTAACCATTTTTAAGTGGCTAATTCAGTGGCATTAATTCACAATGTTGTGCACCCATCATCACTATCCATTTCCTTTATTTATCCATTTCCTTTCCCTCCTCCCCCCTTTATTTCTACTTTCTGTCTCTATGAATTTGCCTATTCTAGCTATCTCATGTAAGTGGGATCATACAATATTTGTCCTTTTTTGTCTGGTATATTTCACTTAGCATGTTTTCAAGGATCATCCACGTTATAGGCCATATCACTTCATTCCTTTTTAAGGCTGAGTAATATTCCATTGTATGTATATACCACATTTTCTTTATCCATTTATCTATCAGTGGACATTTGTGTTGTTTCCACCTTTGGGGTATTATAAATAATGTTGCTGTGAGCACTGACGTACAAGTATCTGTTTGAGATCCTGCTTTCAGTTCTTTTGTCTGACTTTTTTTTTTTTGTCTGACTTCTTTTGATCAACATTGTTTGTGAGATAAAAGGTACTGTTCCAATTTCTGCATAAATGTACGTTTTGGATTTAAAGTTTAGTGTTTTTATTGTGATGAACACAGGAGAAGGCAGGGCATCATAGTACAGTTAAAGAAAATTTTTAAGAATGAGTACAGATTTACCAAGTGAAGTTCCAAATAGAACAGCAGGCTCAAGGGCTCTCAATAAATATTTGAGGGAATGAAAAAGCACTGAGTTGAACCACTGTTAATGCTTTTGAGAGTTTATTATATGCCAGGTACTGTGCTAAGCACTTCACATACATTATCTCATGGAGCCCTATCAAGTACCTCATATTGTAACCACTTTACAGATTTGGAAACTGAGACTCTGAGAGACTAAATAATTGTCCAAATTATGCAGTTAGTGGTATAGCTAGTTATCCAGTTCTCCCTCCCTCTCTCTCTCCTCCTCTCTATGTACGTGTGTGTATGTATTATATATATATATATATATATATATATATATATATATAATATAAAATATAATCTTATTGTCAATATTTGGTCCCTTACTATTTTCACTTAGCCATTACCATAAAGCATTTCACATGTTGGTGAATATTTTTGTAGCATCAGAGCACAGTTTTAAATAGCTGCTCAACAGTATTACCTTCCACGTTGCACTATACTTTTTTAAATTAATCTTCTCACTTGGATAGACATTTAGATTGTTTTCAGTACTTTGTTTTTAAACCACATTTTAATAAACATCTTTATGACAGTTATTTGTACACATCCATGATTTTTTTTCCCCTAGGGTAAATTCCAGGAAGTGGAATTACTGGGTCAAAGGATGTTCACATTTTTAAGATTTTTGATACACGGTGCCACATTGTCCTCTAGAATGTTGTACCTATTTTCATTCCCATCAGCAGTGTGAAGAGCACCCCTTACTGTTCTCTTCCCCCAAAACAGGGTAGAGGCTAGAGAGGAGCAGGGAATATTGGGGGCGGGAGGCTGCGGCTTGAGAGATGTGAGACTCCTGAAGATGTTTATAAGCCAAGAGGAAAGAGCAGAGGAGAAGGGGAGAAGTGAAGATAAATGCAATCTGAGAAGGGAATAAATGACTGAGCAGTGGCCTCTGGAGCCAGGGAGGGCTGGGCCGATATCTGGGCTTGCCCTGCAGAGGATGTGGGAAATCTGCCTTGTCCCCTGCCCCAGGTACCCGATCCATCCATCTGGGGTTAGGAACATACACTCTGTGTTCCCAGGGCTGCATGGGTTGGGAACATTTACCATATTACCATAACATTTACCACATTACATGTCATTTTTCTGTCTTACCAAATTCTTTGAAGGCAGGAACTGTGTTTTGTTTGTTTTTATCCCAGTATTCCCAAAGTCTATCCAATGCCTGCATGCAGCGAGTACTTGATAAAAATTTATTAAATGAATGATAGATGCATTTAGAGAAGTTGGGGGAAGAGAGAGGGAATTTGAGAGAGTTGTCTTCTGGCCAGAAGTGAAGTCTTTTTTTTTTTTTTAAATTGAGGTATAGCTGATTTACAATATTATGTGTTTCAGGTGTACAGCATAGTGATTCACAATTTTTATTTTATTATTATTTTTTTATTTTTGGCTGCTTTAGGTCTTCATTGCTGCACGCAGGCTTTGTCTAGTTGCAGTGAGCGGGGGCTACACTTTGTTGCAGTGCACAGGCTTCTCAGTACAGTGGCTTCTCTTGTTGAGGAGCACGAGCTCTAGGCGTGCAGGCTTCAGTAGTTGCAACAGGCAGGCTCAGTAGTTGTGGCATACAGGCTCAGTAGTTGTGGCTCACAGGTGTTCTAGAGCACAGGCTAAGTAGCTGTGACTCGCAGGCTCTAGAGCGCAGGCTCATTAGTTGTGGCGCACGGGCTTAGTTGCTCCGCAACATGTGGGATCTTCCCAGACCAGGGCTCGAACCCATGTCCCCTGCACTGGCAGGTGGATTCTTAACAACTGCGCCAGCAGGGAAGCCCCATTTCACGATTTTTAAAGGTTATATTCCATTTGTAGTTACTACAAAATATTGGCTATATCCCTGTGCTGTACAATATATACTTGTAGCTTTTTAATTTTATACCCAGAAGTTTGTACCTCTTAATCCCCTGCCCCTATCTCCCCCCTCCCCCCTCCCCTCTTCCCACGGGTAACCACTAGTTTGTTCCCTATATCTGTGAGTCTGTTTCTTTTTTGCTATATTCACTAGTTTGTTTTATTTTTTAGATTCCACATATAAATGATATCGTACAGTATTTGTCTTTTTCTGTCTGACTTATTTCACTAAGCATAATACTCTCCAAGTCCATCCATGTTATTGCAAATGACAAAATTTCATCCTTTTTTACAGCTGAATAGTATTCAATTGTATACATGTACAATTGAATATATATCTGTACAACTGAATATTCAATTGTGTATATATATGATTGAATGTATATATACACAATTGAATACCATATATATATATATACATATATATAATCACATTTTCTTTATCCATTTATCTATTGATGGACACAGGTTGCTTCCACATCTCGTCTATTGTAAATAGTGTTGCTATGAACACCGGGGTGCATGTATCCTCTTGAATTAGTGTTTTCCTTTTCTTTGGATATATACCCAGGAGTGTAATTGCTGGATCATATGGCAGTTCTATATTTAATTTTGAGGACCCTCCATACTGTTTCCCACAGCGGCAGCACCAATTTACATTCCCACCAACAGTGCACAAGGGTTCCCTTTTCTCCACACCCTCAGCAACATTTATTACTTTGATCTTTTTGATGATGGCCATTCTGACAGGTGTGAGGTGATACCTCACTGTAGTTTTGATTCACATCACAGACTGTCTTCATGTTGGTGAAAGGAAATACCCGTAGATACAACTTTCCACGGAGGAGGGGAGGCTGGGCAACAACTGCAGGAGGCCGACCCAGGACTCCTGATACATCTCTACCATGTGACTCCAAGTGGTAATTACAGTGGAGAGCCCAGGGTCTCTCACCTCAGCAAAGGGACAGGAGAACAGGCTGCTGGGAGCCACCTCCTCCAGGGGGTACTACAAGCTCAGGGTCTGGGAGAGTTCCTGTGTTGTTCTCATACTCTTTCTCTTATCACAAGAGTAACAACTGCTCAGTGCAGAAAACCTGGGAACCACAGAAGACTACAGAGAGGAGGAATAAACATGGAGCGATAGGTATCTCAGCCACATTTCAGCCTAACAGTCACACTTTTGTTCTGTGCACAAATCATTTATTTGCGTTCATAAAGACTGGCTTTGGGCTTCCCTGGTGGCGCAGTGGTTGAGAGTCCGCCTGCCGATGCAGGGGACACGGGTTCGTGCGCCGGTCCGGGAAGATCCCACATGCTGCGGAGCGGCTGGGCCCGTGAGCCATGGCCGCTGAGCTTGCGCGTCCGGAGCCTGTGCTCCGCCGCAACGGGAGAGGCCGCGACAGTGAGAGGCCCGCATACCGCAAAAAAAAACAAAAAACAAAAAACAAAAACTGGCTTGGCCTAAAAAGCTTGCTCTTAAAGATGAATGGTGGTACTTTTGACTCTGGGACCAGAGGAAGTGAGAGGAAAAGAAGGGAAAACTGGTGGCTGGTCCTCCTGTCACAGACCTTCAAAGACCATGAGTGCGGTGACCACAGTTTAAGACACTGCATCACTGAGGGGTGAGGAACAACCACCCAGTGCGACCACCCAGAAGGCTCTGCAGAAAGAGGGCTATTAGGCCAAGTCTTGAGGATCAAATCAGCTTCAACCAGGGCAAAAAAATGTGGGAAGGGTGGACCAAGCAGAGGGAACAGCACATGCAGATGCCTGGAAGCAAAGGGGAGCAGGTCATATCCAGCAACCGGTAACTAGTTTGCTAAGGCTGAGTTACAGGCATCTTAGAAGGGAGAAGGTGGATCAGGAGGCCAGGGAGCTTGGCGGAGGCAAGCCAGAAGGGGCTAGAAGGTTTGTCTGCCTTGTTAAGTTTTTATTTTAGCCTGAAGGTGGTGTGGAGCCACTGAAGGGCATCATAAGAGTTCTGATTCCCAAAGATCGTCCCAACATCCTTGCAGGGCATGGGTTTCAAGACCAGTCAGTGAAGTCCTCCCTTGAAGTGACAAAAGCAGGACGGGCATTGGCGGTACAGCTAGAGGCAGAGTCTGTCACTCTTTAGGAGTCTGAACAGGTACATAGGTAGCAGGTCTCGGGACAACAAGGATCACTTCTTCCTGGCTTGGGGCCTGCCTGGATGGAGGGGCCATCATCCACTTAGGCAAAGGAGGAAGATGCAGGCAAAGGCTGAGTCTGCAGACCTTCCCATGGGAGAGAGGAGCTGAAGTTCAGGTCGAGCTGGAGGTCAGCGGGTGGCTCAAGAAGCCAGTAAGAGGGATGAGCTGGCCCCAGAGGACATGCAGAGTGTGGATAAGAAGCCAGGGACTGGTCCTCCAGGGCTGGGGGGGACAACTGATGGAGGGGGCAGGACAAGCTCTGGGAGCAGCTGGGCACGGGACTCACTGGATATACCCCTCCACACGCAGCAGCAGGTAGTCCTTGAGGAGCGGGGGCAGGGGGAGGCGGGCGGCAGCCTGTCGGCAGCGGCTACCCAGCTGAGCACGTATGGCCAGCCGGGCCAGGTGCTGCAGCTGCCTCGGCTGATTCACCATGCACAGGGCCGAGCTGTAGAAGGCTTCGTGCTCCTAGATGGGGAGTGGAACAGGGTCAGATGGCCCAACGTTCTGACTTTGCCCTTCCATCTGGGGGTGACCTAGTGGTGGGGCCCTGGGATTTTGCAACCTGCACCCACCTGGGCGTTTGGCTCATCTTGAAGGACCCAGATTCAGAAGCAAAGGCCCTGCAGGGGTCATGGGAGCTGGGACCACACTGCAGAGCAGGGTCTCAGCCATGTCTGCACCCACCCCCACTCCAAAGATACTGGCACAGTGCCTACTCAGTCAGACATGCCTGATAAATGTCTATACTGATGCAGGTAAGAGAGAGCCTAGAGAGTTGTGTGCAATTAAAGGTTGTCCTGAGCTTCCGGGGGCAGGGGTACCCTGGAACCCAGAGGTTTCACTCTGCCCATCCTCCTCCCGCCCAGGGTCCCTCTTGCTCCTGCCTCCAGGAAGCCCACCTGGAGGGACAGGCCTGGGGCTCATCCTTCCTCTCCATCTCCCCCAGAGCCCAGGAAGGAGCTGTGCTCATGGGGCGGACTTACCTGACACAGCTCTGGAAGCACTGCCTCAACCCAGGTATCACAGGATGGAACACAAGGGTAGGCATTAAGCAGGACTTCCAGGGCTCGAGGGAAGTTGGCACAGTGTCTCAGCATCTAGAAATCAAAAGAGAGTCTCAGGGCTTCCCCGGTGGCGCAAGTGGTTGAGAGTCCGCCTGCCGATGCAGGGGACACGGGTTCGTGCCCCGGTCCGGGGAGATCCCACATGCTGTGGAGCGGCTGGGCCCGTGAGCCATGGCCGCTGAGCCTGCGCGTCCGGAGCCTGTGCTCCGCAACGGGAGAGGCCACAACAGTGAGAGGCCCGCGTACCGCCAAAAAAAAAAAGGGAGTCTCAGACTAGAAAACAAAAATGAGTCTCAGGGGTACCATGCCTATACCAACCAGCCTGGGCCAAAGCCCCACTCACATCCAAATCTGTTCTTTTTTTGCCCGCCCACGTGCCATGCAGGATCTTAGTTCCCCGACCAGGAATCGAACCCGTGACCCCTGCAGTGGAAGCGCAGCGGCTTAACCACTGGACTCCCAGGGAAGTCCCACATCCAAATTTGAGAGGCCAAGATCTGCGTCCCTCCTCGTCCTTTTCTAGCCTCAGTTTACCCTACCTTCAAGTGTGCTCCAACCTCCTGGCCCCAGCCAGTTTCCTTGGGGGCTGTTTTTCTCCCTTAGACACCCTCTCCCATAGCCCTCACTGGTCCTTCCCAAGAGGGGGACAGATCTCTGGTCCAGAGAGAGGGCTCTCTGTCTCTTAGCCTCTCTTCCTGGAGGCTGGGCAATTCCAGCTCCAGGCATCCCCGGCCCATCAGGAGTCTTCTTTCACAGGCCCTCCCTGCACACCTCAGGGCGCACAGGCTGGGCCCCGTAGTCCAGCAGCGCAGCAAAGAGGATCTCGGGCTCCCAGTTGGGGGCGTCCTGGACGGCCTGCAGCGCGCAGTCCATGGGCGTTTGGCCCGCCCCATTGGGAACTGCAGCGCAGGCCCCGTAGTGCAGCAGCAGCTCGGCCAGGCCCCCGCAGCCGTTGGCACAGGCGTTGTGCAGCGGCGTGTGGCGTTTGCGCCCTGCCGCCCGGGCATCTGACCCAGCTTCCAGGAGCCGGCGCACGGCGACCTGGTGCTGCCGACTGCTGCCCGGGCCCTCGGCCCCCGCGCACGCGGCGTTCAGGGCCGTCTCGCCCTGGCTGGTGCGCAGCTTCACGTCGGCGCCGTGCTCCAGGTAGAGAGCCACGTGCTGCTCCAGGCCTCGTGCCGCCGCCACATGCAGGGGTGTCACCTCGCTGTCCTGCACCGCCAAGTTCACGGTTGCTCCCGCCTCCAGCAGCTGCTTGGCGCACCTGGAGGCAGGGTACAAGGCCCTTGAGGCAAATCCTGAGGGACCAGGCCTGGCCTGGGGACCCCTCAGCCTGCTGTCATCCCTGACCCCTTCTTCCCACCTCTCTTGGCTCAAGCAAGCCTGGCGCCAACTGCCAGACTCACAGAAGCCCCGTGACAGACAGCAGAGCTGGAAGGCCCATCCAAGTCACTGGGAGCATTTCAGTTTTCAGCCCAGAAAGGTTGTGGTGCAGCCCAGGACATACAGCAAGCTAGTAACTGCGGAGGAATTAATACTCACTGCCTCAGACCGTCCCTCCCAGAGTCTAACCTGACTCCCCCATCAGATAGGGACCCCAAGGCCTTGTTCTGAATCACTTGTCAGTGGTCTCCTAACATTCTGATAGCACAAGTTTTAAAAACCCACTAATGTGTACACTGTGAAGCATAGAAAATTAAGGAGTATGACCCCCCCAAAGAAAACAGAAATAGAAGTCCTAATTAGTAAAAAAAAAAAAAAGAAAAGAAAAAGTCGTAATTAGTATTTTCTTCCTGTCTCCAAACATGAAGACCGCCTTTCTCAGCCAGCCACACTCACTCCAGCAAAGGAAGGCACTTGGGTCCCGCTTACTTCACTTTCCCCTGGAGAAAACAAACAAAACCAAACAACAAAAATCAGACTTTACGGAGCACGTGTTTCACAGGTGTTTCATAGGTCAGAACACTGTTGAGGCAAATATGCATCATTAACCACCTCGGGGTAAACCAAACGCTGCAAACTAAATTAATGATGGCACTGAACTAACAGTAATTTAAAAAGCCAGAACGGTAGCCACTGGAAACTCAGGAGCAGATCCATCAACCCCATCGAAACCCTGATGAAAAAGTATCCTTCCCCAAAATGGCCAGCATTCCAGCTCCCTTCAGTGTGCATGTCCGGTAGGCATTTTGCTCAGTCAGTGGCCAAGCTTTGAGTAGCAGCCAGCCAGCCACAAACTACTTAATTTATTACCTTGGTAAGTTCTAATCATAGACTAATTTCTGTTTCTATATACTAAATTTAAATAACTCCAAGAAGCTCGCTCAGTAGGGTTCCAGTAAGTGAAACCATTCTCAGTTCACTTAAAAGGATCAAGTGTGCTGGAAGGTGCACCACATGCCCATAAGACCTCAAGAAAGGACTGGAAATTTTGGATCATCTCTGGGTCCATCACTGATCTAGATCTACATGGGTAGATTCCAGCACGTGGGCTGTGGAATGCCTTTCAGGAGCCCTTGATTCCTTGTCCCCGCCAGCCTTGTCTGTGGACCTGACTTGTCAAAGTGCAAATACCTTCATGTAGGGCGTGGCCAAGAAACTGTTGACCTTAAAAAGGTGGGAAGAGGAAGTGTCCTTCATACTAAGATTGGGAAACACTGGGCTCGATCTTTCTCGATGGCTACCTCAAAATAGCTAGGAATGTGGCTGCAGAGGGTTCCCAGGTAATAGGAGACTGCAGTCGGGACAGGGTTTTTCCAAAAAGCAACAGGGCTTCTGCCTACTGGGCTTAGCTGATGTGACCTTGGACAAGTCACTAAACCTTTCTGAGTCTCAGTTTTTTCACCATAGAATGAGACCTGTCTCAGGATAGAAAGCCCAGAGATAAACCCATGTACCTATGGTCAACTAATCTATGACAAAGGAGGCAAGGATATACAATGGAGAAAAGACAGTCTCTTCGATAAGTGGTGCTGGGAAAACTGGACAGCTACATGTAAAAGAATGAAATTAGAACACTCCCTAACACCATACACAAAAATAAACTCAAAATGGATTAGAGACCTAAATGTAAGACCAGACACTATAAAACTCTTAGAGGAAAACATAGGAAGAACACTCTGACATAAATCACAGCAAGATCTTTTTTAATCCACCTCCTAGAGTAATGGAAATAAAAACAAAAATAAACAAATAGGACCTAATGAAACTTAAAAGCTTTTGCACAGCAAAGGAAACTATAAACAAGACGAAAAGACAACCCTCAGAATGGGAGAAAATATTTGCAAACAAATCAATGCACAAAGGATTAATCTCCAAAATATATAAACAGCTCATGCAGCTCAATATTAAAAAAACAAACAACCCAACCCAAAAATGGGCAGAAGACCTAAATAGGCATTTCTCCAGAGAAGACATACAGATGGCCAAGAAGCACATGAAAAGCTGCTCAACAACACTAATTATTAGAGAAACGCAAGTCAAAACTACAATGAGGTATCACCTCATGCTGGTTAGAATGGGCATCATCAGAAAATCTACAAACAACAAGTACTGGAGAGGGTGTGGAGAAAAGGGTACCCTCTTGCACTGTTAGTGGGAATGTAAATTGATACAGCCACTATGGAGAACAGTATGGAGGTTCCTTAAATAACTAAAAATAGAATAACCATGTGACCCAGCAATCCCACTACTGGGCATATACCCTAAGAAAACCATAATTCAAAAAGATGGGGCTTCCCTGGTGGCGCAGTGGCTAGGAGTCCGCCTGCCAGTGCAGGGGACACGGGTTCGAGCACCGGTCCGGGAAGATCCCACATGCCACGGAGCAGCTAAGCCCGTGCACCACAAATGCTGAGGCTGTGCTCTGGAGCCCGCGAGCCACAACTGCTAGGCCTGCGTGCCACAACTACTGAAGCCCACGTGCCTGGAGCCCCTGCTCGCCCGCGTACCGCAAAAAAAAAAAAAAAAAGACACATGCACCCCAACGTTCATTGCAGCTCTATTTACAATAGCCAGGTCATGGAAGCAAACTAAATGCCCATCGACAGACGAATGGATAAAGATGTGGTACATATATACAATGGAATATTACTCAGCCATAAAAAGGAACAAAATTGGGTCATTTGTAGAGACGTGGATGGATCTAGAGACTGTCATACAGAGTGAAGTAAGTCAGAAAGAGAAGAACAAATATCATATATTAACGCATATATGTGGAACCTGGAAAAATGGTACAGATGAACCGGTCTGCAGGGTAGAAATAGAGACACAGATGTAGAGAACAAACGTACAGACACCCAGGGGGGAAAGTGGCTGGGAGGGGGGTGGTAGTGGTGGTATGAATTGGGAGATTGGGATTGACATTATACACTAATATGTATAAAATAGATAACTAGTAAGAACCTGCTGTATGAAAAAATAACTAAAATAAAATTCAAAAATTCAAAGAAAAAAAAAAAGAATGAGACCTGTCTCCCATGATGTTGTGAGGACATGTGTTTCTGGCATGTGAGCTGGAGACACACACACATACCCACACACCCCCTCCCCAAACCATCTCAGCCCCTGGGCACCTACTGTAAGGACTCAGGGATTGTGCAGAGGTGCAATGGTGTCGTGCCTTCCTCAGACAACACATTGACCTTGGCGCCGAAGGTCAGCAGCAACTGCACACAGTCGGCCTGGGCCCGGGCACAGGCCTCGTGCAAGGCGGCCCGGCCCCCAACCCGGGCATCCAACTCAGCTCCCCGCCGGATCAGGTAGCGGGCGCAGTCGGTGTAGCCTCGGGCAGCAGCGATGGTGAGGGGTGTTGTATGCTTGGCTTTGGGGGTCAACACCCAGAACCCTGAGGGGAGCAGGCAGTGTTAAGGGGGGTGGGTATGAGGCTGGCAGGCAGGGCAGGCTGTCATGTACAACTGACGCTGCCCTGCCCTCTGTACGCCTGGCTGAGCACAAACCCTGTGCTCGTCTGTACCTGTGGAGAGGGGGCTCAAGCCCCCAGCTGAGAGTGTAAATTGGAACAGCCTTTTAGAACAGTTTGTCAGTCTATAACAAAACGTAATACGTGGGTCATAGGAAAAACATGTAATTGCTCTTTTTTTTTCTTCTTTTTTTGGCCACACCGAGAGGCTTGTGGCATCTTAGTTCCTCGACCAGGGATCGAACGCTGGCCCCGGCAGTGAGAGCGCCGAGTCCTAGCCACTGGACTGCCAGGGAATTCCCTTAATTGCTCTTTAAAACCACAAGGGCAGCTAAGGAGGGTGAATCCTGCTAGGGAAACCTCTGGGTCTTTGAGCTGCTGGTGGAGTCCTTGGCTCTTTTTGTTAACTTGGGCGCTCTGGTGTTGGGGAGAAGAGGGAGTTACACACAGGAGGGCCTGGACCTGACTCAGGGAGTGGCCAGAGCAGAGCTGAAGAAGTCATAGTATGCTCCTGGGGTCTTGCTCGAAGGACACAGATGGCTAATATCCTGCTGTCAGTTGTTTGCATTGTAGCTAAGTAAATCCCTGGGTTTCCTAAATCTTGGGTAAAGCATGTTTTGTTTTTTATTAGGATTGAAATTAAGGCCAAGTTCCATTTGGGAGATGGAGATGGTGGACACGCTGGAAGAGGAGGCCAGGGTGCCCTGGGTGGGGTCACATCTCTAACAGTTGAAGGAATTTGGCCTGGTGGTGACCGTGAGAGCATAAGCTCTCCAAGGATTCTGAACCCCCATATCCATGGGTGGGGTGTGAGGCAATCTCCTGTCAATCTTTTTTTTTTTTGCGGGGGTGGTTTCTTTTCTCCTGCCTAAGAACAGGGCAATCATTTGGTTTACATGGACAAACCTTCTGGTCAGAATAGATCCTAAGGAAGATCATCGAACAAGTACACAAAGATGTTGCTCATACTGTTATTTAAAATAGTTTTTTTAAAAAAGGAAACCTAGGGACTTCCCTGGTGGTCCAGGGGGTAAGACTCCATGCTCCCAATGCAGGGGGCCTGGGTTCGATCCCTCGTTGGGGAACTAGATCCTGCACGCATGCCGCAACTAAGAGTTCGGATGCCTCAGCTAAGAAGTCCGCGTGCCAAAACTAAGACCAGGTGCAGCCTAAATAGATAAATAATAAATAAAATATTTTTAGCAATAAATAAATAAAACAAAAAAGAAGCCTAATCTAACCAATCTATTTGGGAGCTAGTTATATAAATCATGGCACACCCATACAATAGAATTTATGCACCTATTTAAATTATAACGTGGGGAATTCCCTGGCGGTTCAGTGGTTAGGACCCTGAGCGTCCAGTACCGAGGGCCCAGGTTCAATCCCTGGCTGGGGAACTAAGATCCCGCAAGCCGCGTGGCATGGCCAAAAAAAAAAAAAAGGATTATGTGGACTTATGGTTATTGACATAGAAAGATGCTACATGAAAATAACAGGCATAATAATAGCATAATAAAAATAATAGCATCTGGAGTATAATTTCATTCTATGAAAGAAAAAATATTCACGCGTGGAGATACATCCAGAGAAACAATTGCATTTGAATACAACTGTGTTCCTGTGTAAGTCATATAACATGTTACTATAACTTTAATTCTGAAAAGACATACAAATCACTAAGTATGCCTCATCTCTGTTTAGGAGGGAGCTGGAATCGGCAGTGGGAAGGGATGGTCTAGTCTATGGTCTGGAGGGGGGGATGGGGCCCAGGCTCCCCCCCCACCCTCCCCTCCTCCCTCTCCCTCCTCTTCTGCCCCCACCGGGTGCTCCCTACCCTGTTCAGCTGACCAGGCCAGCTGGTTGCTCACTGTCTCCACAATCATGTTGGCAGCGCCTTCATCTTGGAACAGGGCTTGGATCTGTTGCAGGTCACCAGAGAACAGGGCATTGTGCACAGCTGGGTCCCGGCAGGAGCGGCGCGGCCTAGCGAGTTGGGCCCAGGAACTTGGGGGGCACCTTTGGCTCTGGCACTGCTGGGCTGCAGCCCAACGCCGGTCCTCCCATTCCAGCCACTCCCGCTTCAGGCGGAGAGAGCGCAGTGTGGAGGAGGTGAAGGGGAAGGTCTCCCCTGCCATGGGGAGGGATCCAGGGGTCTGGGCAGCGGCAGCTGGGCAGAGCAGGTTCCCTCGGCCCGACTGCCACCCTTGCTCTGAGGAGCCACCCTGCCCCCAACCCGTGACCCAGAGAAAGGAGCAGCTGAGGCTATAAATAGGCCCTTTGCTGTTCTGGTAAACACAGTTTGCCCAGAGTCATGATCTTGGTGCAGAGAAACTGTTGGGTCAACCCCCAGCCCGCGGCTAGGGACAGCCCCTGCCCCTGCAGATACCCTCCAGCTGGGGAGCCGGCCCTCAGCTGAGCTCCAGGTCCACACCTCCCACTTCTCTGGAGTGAGCATCTTGGGTTGGCAGGGTCCGAGGTGAGTGAAACAGTCAATCAGGGAAATGGACAGGACAGGGTCTCTCTGATGTTGGCTGGAGGGCAGACCCCTGCCCAGGAAATAAGGGCAGGTGAAGTCAGAGTTTGAACACCTCTTCTTGGCATCTGCACTAACAGCAATGACTCTGCACATACAGGCACAGGGCTTAACAGTACTTAAACCACTTTTATATCCATCTTCACTCAGGTGACCATACATTTTCTGGCTTGCCTGGGTAAACAGCAAGCTTGACTTTGACAATAAATTATATGATCAGGCTAATTATCACAGTTTGAACGCCTCTGAGATGGGTGGTCTTATTTCTGTTTTACTGATGAGGAACTTAAGGCTTAGCAAGGTGAAACCACTTGCTCAAGGTCACAGCTCGTGAGAGGGGAGCCAGACTAGGACCACAGTGGGTCTGACTCTGTAGATGGTGCACTTTGGTGAGAGAGCCTCTCCCCACCTTCCAAGCAGGACAGCATGGTCCCTAACACTGCCTTTAATGCGTCTTGGTTAGGGTTTCCCCCCCGCCCCCCCGCAGCTCCTAAAAGGGCTTACATGCCTGCCTGAGGAGGACCAAGGGCTTGACCTCCCAACTCTGGGGACCAAGGAGACCTTCAAGCCACAAACCCACTCACTCAAAGTGGCTGTGCTTCCACGAGCCTCTAGGGGGAAGAATGAAGCCGTGAAACAGCACTAGGTGCTGGCTGCCGAGCAGTGAAGGGCAGAAGGGAGGTCAGCCCTGGCCCCAGAAGCTCTCCTCAGCCAGTGGGTGGTGGCGGGCAGTCCCTTGGCCCCTCAGGGTCCGCCTGTCCCCATCTCACCCTGGCTGCAGGCGCGCACGCACACACACACACACACACACACACGCACACACACACACTTTCTAGCTCCCATTCTCCCATTTTCAGTTACCATCTCAAGGCCTTTAACCTGGACCAGCCCTGCCTCCTACCTGGTGTTCCCTCCTCTGGCCACAACCCCTCTGCTCCACTGCCCAAAGGGAAGGATCTATCTAAACAGTTCATTTCCTAGCTTGAAAACGTCTGCTGACTTCCGAGCCCTACCCTTTCCCACTAAGCCCCATGCCCTGGTTTGGCCTCACATCAGGCAGCTGTCCCCTCACGGATCCTCACCTTTCCCTGCCGTTCCCTCTGCTTGGAATTCCCTCCTGACTCACCCCTCAAAGTCCACCTCAAAGGTCACCTGCGGTGGGAGACACCTGCTCAGGTCGCCCACCCCTGCGGTTCCAGCCACCCCCCAATCCGTGCTCCTGGAGGACCTTCCGTGTGCTTTGTCAAGCCCCTGTCCCCAGGTACCGTGGACCACAGCCTGCTGCGCTGGATATGGGCTCCAGAGCAGGACCTGAACGGATTCAGTTGGGGTTCTGGTACCCAGCAGGGCCTGGCGCACAGTAGATCTTGTCGTGGTGCTGAGGAGCCCTTGGCTTGTCGTGGGCCAGCCTCTTACGTGTAGCACGTTGACTGAGGGCCCCTGTTCTCCGCCGGAGCAGACACTCATCTGCCTGCCCAAGTGGGTGGCAGCAGCCTGGGCTGTTTCCAGCTCTGCCCTTACCCTGCTGTTCACCCACTCTGGCCCCAGCCTCTTGGTGGTATTCCAGGGTGCGGGATCCCAGAGGAGGAATGAGATCATGACCAGCGAGGGCTTGGAGATCCTCAGAGAAAGGCGCCTCTATCCTCAGAGAATGGCACCCATTCGATGTTTTAATTGCCCTGCCAACAGCCCAGCTGAGCACCCGGAGCTGGGCTCCCAGGGTTGGGAGCTGGCAAAATACGATGGGGCCAAGAGGGGCCTTCTCCCGAGGCTCACGGTAGTCATGGTCAGTGGAGCCTGAGGCTGTTCTGACTTCCCCAGCCTCTCTGCAGCCTCTTGTCACAGGCCTGAAGGTGCTCTGACTACAGATCAGTCCTCAGAGGTACCATTTGTTCAGTCCCCTATCCTCAGCATTAACTTCCTGAGGCCCTTACTTCAACCCACACATGAACCCACAGGGAGCCCAGTTTTACTGGCAGGAACAGTGCCAGGCAACTGGATACCCAGCCTGCCTTCTGGGAGCTCAGAGCCTGTGGGGGGGAATGAAGCACACAAGAAACCAGGGCATCTGTCAGGATCGTGAGCAGTAGAGACTAGAGCTCAAGGGGGCCGAGTGTGGGTGGCCACCGCAGGCCAGGGGCATGGCTGGTTTAGGTGCAGGAAGACCACCTGGCATAGACGGGCGGCTCTGGCCCAGATCTAAGCTACAGAGGCGGAGCTGGGGAGTTAGCAGCACGGGGAAGAGAAGGAAGTGCGTGGTGTGCTCAGGTAGGAAGACCCAGTGAGAGTGTGAAAGGGCAGTGCTGGTGAATTAGCCCCTTCTTGTTCCTGGGCTTGGGCCACAAAAGCCTTCTAGAACAGAGCCCCACTGCCACCAGCAGCCAGCTGAACATGGAGTTCTTAAAGCACTTGTTCACTTCAGCTTTGAGACTGGGATCCGTGGCATCAGCTTTTCTTTGGAAAAAGGGAGACTAACACCTTCTCTGAGAGTCGTACCAAGCCCATTGGAGGTCCTGACTCACAGCTGCCTGCTGAAGGCGGAGGCAGAGGCAGATGAGGCTGGCTGTCAACCTGGGGTCTTTAACCCACACCCCCTCAACCATGTGTTGAGAGAATCTTCCTTTCCTCCCTTCATTCCAGAAAGGAAAACAAGGTTGGTTGGCAACTTGGTATAATTAGGCCTTTTACACCCCACCCATGACCCTTGTCCAATTCTTGCCTGAAAAGCGGTACAGAGAAGCTACAGTGGTGAAGAGTTGCTTGGCAACAAAATAAATAAAGTAGTAGTGGACTCTAACCCAAAGTATAAAACAAATATCCATGAGTCCATACTGATATAAATGGGTGGCTGAACAAAAGATAAGGGAAAACAGACCAATCTCCCACGCAGAAGAATTCCAAATAATCCATGTAGATATTCTGCCCTTAAGAAGATGGAACATAACTCCTCATTCCTTAAGTGTGGGCGGGCAGCAGAGTGAATTCCTTCCAAAGGGTATCGTGCAAAAAGGGAGAAAAAGAGTAACTTGACAGTGGAGAAATCTGGCAAATCTGACAAACCCTACTTTAGCCAAGCGATCAAGGTCAACACTAACCCTTGATATGATGTGATGAGAAAAGCACCTTACCTCTGAGGTCTTCCTCCCCCAAACACATAACCCCAGTCTAATCATGAAGGCACACCAGACAAATTCCCGTAGAGGGACATCTGACAACATGCCGGACCTGTGCTCCTCGAAGCTGTCAAGGTCATTAAGAAACAAGGAGAGTTGGAGAAACTACCACAGCCAAGTAGAACCTCAAGGGACACGATGGCTAAATGTAACGTGAGATCCTGGAAGAGAAAAAGGACATCAGGGGAAAACTGAGTAATGTGAATAAAGTATGGAATTCAGTTAATAATAATGTATCAATACTGGTTCTTTAGTTGCAACAAATCTACCATACTAATGTAAGACGGCAGCAATAGGGGAGACTGGGTGTGGAGTATAAGAGAACTCCCTGTAACATCTTTGCAATAATTCTATAAATCTAAAACTGTCTACAAGAAAAAGTTTATAGTAAAAAAAAAAAAGGAGAGCGAGAGGCAGAGAGAGAGAAAACAAGTGGCTTGGCTCTGCCCTGGCCAAGGCACCACCAGCAGGGCAGACAGAACAAGGAGCAGCGAGGCTGGAAACGAGAGGGAGGTGGGTGAAGCAGGCGGCTGCTTTATTTCAGAATAAGGCACCTCAGCCGTACTCCTGCCCCTGCTCCTGGGAGCGCTGGGCATAGGTGAGCTGGTCAGCTACAGGCCTCAAGAGACGAAGCAGAGGGAAGTCTGAGCGTTCCTTCCTTGTCCAGAGGGACAGGTCGCCACTGCTGTGGTGCGGCTCCTCTTAGCTCCTCAGCTGCCCACGGGCTAGGGAGTAAAGGGACCAGGCCCAGCATCCTCTAAATTCAAGCTGAGGTGGGAGAATGGCACACCTTCCCTGTTGGAGGAGAAGGAATATGCACCCGAGGGCTTGGAGGACAGTAGAGCTGGAGAGTTGATCCTGGGCAGAGTTCCGGTTGCCAAAGGAAGACCCAAAGTGACGGCACTGCAAAATCCGAGGGACGAGGGTGCTCTCAGGGTTAAGTGTCCAGGGTGGGAGCAGCCAGAGAAGTCCCGGAACTTTGTTTTCCAATTGTGTTGGTCTTCCTCTCTCCCCGGGATGTGATCAGACACAACCAGAACTTTGCCTGGGTGCTGAGAGGCTGCCATCTCATGGGGGGTGCCCTGCCTTGGGGGAGTCCCAACTGCCGGTGCCACGGAAGAAGTCCTCAGGGAGCTCGCTCAGTAGTCCATCTAGGTCATCTGCGGGGG